TAAACACACACACAAACATTAACGTCCAGCATTAAAAAGTCAAATAAGCCTGTCAGACTTCAGCAGTTATTTTAAGGTTCCTGATACTGGTGGCTGAATTGGTTCTGGCTATCACAATACACAATAGCTTTAAGGGTGTCTTTAACAAACTCCACATGAGTCACGCTTTACTGTACGCTGAAAAAAGCCATATTAATTCTAATCTAAAGACGGTCCATATGGACGAGAGCTTTGGATAACATATGGTCCCACTTTGGAGTGCAACCAACTTTTTTTTTCTCATTCCTCCTTCCAAATAGTTAAATAGCTGCACTGTTTTAACTCGAGTTATAATTTAACATTCCCTTGGACAGTCATTACTGGTTCACTGTGTGGCCCGTCAGTTGCCTCTGCGTGACTCAAAGCAGCATCTTCAGCGTTGACCAGATCAAGGCTGATAACGACGACAAAGGAAGTCCAGTTGCAACTGTTTTGGATACGTGTGATTATTTTGAATATTGAGTCAGAGGGACATCATGCAGCCCAATGTTAACTGCGACACCTTTCTTTCCTAAGTGGCCAAGTAGAAAACAGAAGCCAACCATGGTAACCGTTAGCCTTGCCGTGGGGGTGGCCCTACCTCTATCTCCCAGACTTCTCTGATCCAGTCCCAACAGTGGGAATAAGGCAACCCAAAGCATTCAACATCCATGGGTGAAAAATAATTGGCTTCAAATCAAAGTAAAATCTAGCAGCTCTGAGTCGAGTGCTGTGTCCCTCTACTCGACCGAATTCTTCTCTGGGCCAGCATAGAAGAGTTTCAAAATCATGTTCTGTTGTGATCGCTCTTACAAAACTAGGAGACACTCTTCAAAAGTACTCATTAAAAGTGCCTGTTTAAAATGGTATGCAATTTTCATTGGAACTGTAATTCATAAATCTGAGTTAATGCATCGTCTAGAATAATTGGGTAATTAGGTTCAGACGTAAAGCCAGTTCAAGCAACCTTCAAGCTTAAGAGGGAGGTTTACTCTCCTCCCTATAGGATCCCGAGCATACCGTATACATTTCCCAAAAAGCTAGAATGATGTATTTTCCCCATTTCTCATTAAAAAGGTACACATTCCAGGAACAGTCTATTTTTCATTTATAGGGGTGCACCAGAATAGATGTTTAAAAGCCCAGCACCTGCAGTCAATACTTTTGGACCAAAACCAATAAATGGCATTATGGAGCACATGATAAATTCCGAAGTCTGACTTAAAAGCTCATTCAACCAGGAAGAGTCAAATGTCCTAAAATACTTCATTTATAGAATTAAAATATTAAAAAATTCAGTGTCCCATAACGGATTGTGGTTATTGGAGCTGCAGAAAAAAATACTGAGGACTCAGTGGTAGGTACGGGCATGAAAAAGATACAATATTTCAATTATATAACTCATGTATGAGATGTATGGACAGAAGAATGTTATTCATCTAGCCATTTATAGACATTATTTCTTAAGTATCCTTTTAAATGTCTGCCCAGGACCAAAAGAAATGAAGCAGCTTAACGGTTAAGAAAAATAGTTTTAACAGTTTTAACATGTGTTACCTATTGACACTAAATCTGGAAAAGCACCAGTTAAGTACAATAAATATATAAGAAACCAAAATTAATTTCTAATGGCTGGCATTTCCTCCTTTTTGTAGAGCATCATTCTGTCCCTCTGATGATTTTGAGTCACACTCAGTCAGTTCATACACCTGAAAATGATTTATCAATTCTGTTGCACTGAACCTCTTGACATTTTGTTCCTCCAAGACACTCATCTACATATGGTTCAAGTTGCCTTTTTATCAGGGTTCTCTTCCAAAACCTCTCTCGCATCTTGACCATCTCACCTGCTGCACGTAGTTCCCACGACGGGATCTGCTTCCGATGATGACTCTGAAAAGTACTACTGCCAGATAACCAAGCACTGCTTTTCAGGCTGTCACTGGCCGAGGTCATCTGTGGATTGCTCAATTGGCGCACTTCTATCAATAGCTACTAGCAAAATTATGAGAGTCCTGCTGGACTAGCTTAGATGTTCAGAGATGATGTTAATGTAGCACTGCTCCCTCAGTGCAGACCTGCCCCAAGCAGTTTATCATTGACTTTCAATTGCTGATTAACAACCATAAGTTCATACCAGCAGCCACCAATGTCTGTTCAGAATTAAAGTGAATCACGTGAAATCAATGCGCTTCTGTCCCTGGCAGATGCAGCTCAGGTCACTGGATATAACCACATGCATAACTCTGGGACACTTCACTGCACGCATGGCCTCATTTGACCAGCAGAGGTCCCTCTAATGTGGCATGTCACAAAATGCAAGAACATCAGAACGCCCCCCCCCCCCCCCCCACAAGCAAACATGGGCATAGATTTTGAAGGGGCCTGGGAGGGGGACATCAAAGTTAAAAGTGCTAATTTACTAGAGACCTAAATACGACAAGAAATTTCCGGAAAAGGCTTCTGGATCACTACATATGCATTTCCCGCGGCCACAGCTATGCTCCAAACCTACGCCTCGGCAAAAAGGAAATCGTCGCCTGGTCTTTTCAGGTCGAGGGGCGGGGGCAGTTGGGGTTTAAGGGTCCAGCGTTTTAAAGAAACTGACCACAGAAATGAGAGCAGCGTCGCCTAGACTGCAAACCACTGCCTCGCGTCACACTGACAGTGGAGCAGGGAAAGGGCCGCTCCTCTGCCACAGGATCCTGATGACATCATAGCTACCCACAGTGCCACGTTCCACTGCTCTTTTATTGGCAGCGGTCCGGCTACATCAGTCTGGCTAAACCCACCATGCTTGTCACCAGCCCATAATTACCTTCAAAACAGAGGACAAAGGTTCGACTTATGCTCGCTGAACACCGCCGATTAACAAAGAGCCATTTCATCATGTCGCTTAAACACAGTCCTCAGTGTAGAGCTTTCGTTTGATTGGCAGTTCAAAACTAATGGATGGCTGAAGAGGCTCCATAACTCTTACATTTTAAGGCTTGTAATGCTATGATTAAAACTGAATAATGGAAAATGAGATGGCTGGACGGCAATGAGGAAACTACGCTCTGGGTTTTGACATGAAACTGGAGCTACTAAGACGACCAGCCAACCACATGTCAACATGGCTAACACCAGATTAACACGCCAAACTCAGATCTGCTCCGCGACCACATCCGGTCAAGTACAACAACTTCAGCTCACAAATCTCTACATCTATCACCGTCGTTTCTTTCCCCTGCATAAACCAGCAGCGGGGGCCATGTGTACCCTGAAAAGCCTGCTTTTGATGATATAACTTCACCACTGACACCAGAGACCCCCCCTGACAAGGAAGGACAAAAAAGATGGTGAAGCATCAATCAAGTCATGCCGCCTACTGACCTCAAGTCTCCACTGAAACGAAGGTCCATAATAAGAGAACACCAGCAGCCAGCAGAGCCTGATCATCCCTCAGATCATAATAGCACAAGAAACCAATAAAACCCTACATATAGATAATCAAATCATAAAGATCAGTTACATTTAAAAATTAAGGCCTCTTTAGGAACAGAATCCTGCTTTGCATAAAGCCCTAGTCAATACATCATATGTGGGCAAGGACTGTTATTAGCAAGTGAATCAATTACCACATCAATGCCCCTATTGAATATGCACCCCCCACCCCACCCCACCCCACACACACACACACACACACACACCTTTTGACTGGGCTAACTGCTGTGAACCTCCTGCGGATCGCCAAAAGCTCACCCTTTTTAAATGGAGGGGGGCGTCTTCAACTTCGGAAAAGTAAATCAAAGATGCGTATCAACATACATTTTTGCTCAAGCGCATTGAAAACCAACTGTACTCGATACCAGGGATCAATCGGCTTTATAAGACGGTTTTTCATTTTTAGCTACGTGCTCGTAGGTAAGAACCACGTGGAAATGTGAATTCAAAACGTTTTTCTTTCGCCTCCTGGGGAAAAATTGAAGAGCATACCTGTACAGTACTTTGTATCCACTGAAAGTAAGTGACGGACCTGTACTGGATAAGTAAATTAAAACTCTGGTTTTATTATTATTAGTATTATTATGTAGATACGTAGATAGAGGGTAATTATCAAAAAACAAAAAAGTTAACAAGGCGACATGGTCCTAAATGATCCCATCCCCCGCGTCCAAATACCAAATGGCAGAAGCCGGGAATACAAACCGAAAACAGGAAATCTCGACATCTGTTACCCCCCATGGACAGGTAAATGGATTAGCAAGACCGACAAAGACAAGAGCGCGCTTTCAAATATGCATCTGATTAACAGACCTCTGCTATGCCATCGCAGCCCATCTGCACTTAGATTCCAAGGGACTTAAACATCTTGATAATAACGCCAGGCATTAAATGGTTTAATTTGCACCCAAAACTGCCTTTTCTTGCCCGGTTTCTGGAAGGTGTCTGAGCACATAGCTTCCTAAAGCTCTTTCTGTGAATAAAACGCGGTGGCTATAAATAACGAACCGAAAACGCCCTCTTGCCTCCGGAGCTGATAGACCCTTTTAAAACGATGCGAGCCGAAACGTCTCAAAAGACCTTGGATCCGATGTTAACTACCTTTGTTTATCCAGCTATAAAAACAAATTGTTGCGCTCGTTGAACCGAATCCTGGAATATTTCCTGCGTATAAAAGAACCATTTGTACTTCTGTCAGACACTATAGACTTTATTAAAATAAAGAGCATGGGTGTGTAAACCACTCCAGTACAAAAAGAACAACTTTAATTTAAACGTAAACGAAAAATGTAGCAATCGAAAACTCATCAGTCACTTGTATGTCTTCCTTGATTGCAAGAACAAAATGAATGCTCTAAATAAGACACTAGATGCACTGCTTCACTGCAAAATAATTGTTTTAACTAACACCGATTAATTAAGCGGCATTTACCCTACGCGTGACTGGAAAAAAAAACACTGTATTCAGTATTAAATATAAAAGAAAACAAACTTACCTGCGCATTTCAGACTCGGAACCAACAAAGCCGCTAACATCAGCAAGGATATCAGCACAGCCGACTTTATCCTTGATTTATGCATTGTTCCACAAAGTTGCAAACTCCTTCACACAAGTTTGAGAAACTTCGTAAATTACTACGTAAATCGCATCCGATCTGCCGCACAGGTATTGAAACTTGCCTCTGTCCTATACTGCTTTGTAAAAAAAAAAAAAATCCTTACGTATGTATAATCAAAGCTTAAAATAACATAAACATTACAAAAAAAAAGTTACAAGATCTCAGGTGTGTGTGATGAATAAAACCCAGCTTATGTTTTCCGTTTCTGATATAACGGCGCATTTCATAGCGTAAAAATCAAAGGCAAACCATCAGCAGTCCCTATCCTTAGCCAGCGTTACGTGAATCTCACTTAAAAAAAGAGGAGCGGAGAAGCTCTCCAGCCACTTATGACGTAGCATAGAACGCAGTACAAAACGCTCCCAAAGGGCCGTGCGTTCGGCGGCCGCTCGGCGTGGTTAATGCGCCCCCTATATGCCAAAGGAGCCACTACACGCTTGGACGCGGGCAAAAACTTAAGACTATCAAAAAAGGATTTATTTTACTCATAACACCACCAAAAATAATGAACATTAACTTTCGGAAATGAGTTATAAGGTTGTGCATTAATAAGAATCTTTTTAACAGAGACTGAATGCCACGACCTAGATTAGGAGTCTAGTCTATCGTCTGAATCTCATACAGCCATTTAATGGACGTTTTTTTACAGGATTAATGCGTGTTTTGTCATGAGAGCAACGAGGCTTGACAGTTTTAAGATAATCTGATTACGTTTCATTTCGCAATTCACTTAATCATTGTTTGGTCCATTTGACAAAAGTCACAGGAAAATGCATATTATAAGCTCTGCGTATTGAGTGATGTTCGTATAGTTGGCATTTAATCGTATATTGATAGAATGTGATACAAATAATAGCAATTTAAACGGATGCGGTATTTGCGTATAAAACGCACGAAATCTGATAGCTGGTTTGCTGTTGATGATTGTTAGCTACGACAATGTTGTTAGAAAATATATTATGCTGTTAAAAATCGTACAAGTTGAATATGACCAGTTAAATATAGATGAACCATCGTCGCGAACACAGAAACATGATTTTACCGTTTGCAGAAATTCCAGTGCTCAATATATTTCCCAAAAGGCAAATTGTGAGGGAGGCAAGGCAAGTTTATGCATGTCAAAAGATGAATGGTAAGCTTGGCCCTATAATCCATTTAAAACGTTATTTGTGCATTTCCCGCAGAATTACGCACTTTCTCTCAAGCAAGCGAAAACACAGACACAAAGAATGGCATTCTTAATTCACTTTAGGGCCAGTCTCATCTTTGCAATATATGCATGACGATTTCGGTAGCTGTTGAAATCTGTACAGAAAATAATTTCCTCACCCTGTAATACCCTATTAGAGTATTCCTTAAACTGCTCTTTGGGTTCATAAACACTGGATTTGGGGGTGAACCTATGGTTAAGGGGATTACTGGGAATGGACAAAATAACATAAGTGAAATATTAAACAGAGTTTTCAAAGCAACATGAGAGAGTTCCAAAGAGCCAGAGACTCAGTGCCTGAACTGCATATACAATCACCTATAAGAACAGAAAAATTATTTAATGTGTCAAGGGAAAGTCACCAAAATCATGACAAGATACCCCAAACATCGACAGACTGCATCACTGAAAAGGAAGAGTCCACCAGCAGGGAAGGACGGACACTTAACAGGATAGCTGCTCAAAGAACACTTCCCCAGGATTAGTAGGGAACTGATTCGGGACCCAATCTCCACAAAAACAATAAAACAGATCATGAGCTACGGGGGGGTATTTATGGCAGGGCAACCAATCAGAAACCACTTGTATCCAAAGTCAATGCACAACAACATATAACCTGATAGGAGCATAATACCTGGACCCGTCAGCAATTTAACATGGGCTCACTTATTTTCAGTGTTTGGCTTTTAACCCAAAATTCCTGTTGATGTGGGCTGCCATCTTGTGGGAGTCATGAGGTTCAATGATTGTTCTGCGTGATTGTTTAGCAGCTGATGAAGATGAGGACATAGGGGCTTATGGCACGAACACCATTCCCTCATGATGTTCTCATATTACAACATAAAAATACCCCCATGCATACCACTAAATACGTTCTAGAGTGGTTTCATAAACACCAGGATGAGGCCAAAACACCTTCTAAGACTTCCTCAATCACCAGATCCAAACACTATCAAACCTGCATAGGAAGTTCTGGAGTTTGAGGTCCAGAAAGCAAAAATCCAGACCAAGATTTTGTTTCAATCAATCAGTTGAATATGAAGAGTCACAGAGCACTCTACTGGTTGGTTTAAACAAAATCTTGGCCTGGATTTCTACTTTCTGGACCTCAAATATCTGCCTCTAAGTGTGAAACCATGACAGCAAAATTCCACCTCATTCACTACTGAAAGAACTGGAAGCCTGCCTTCTTGAAGACCAGTTTGATATCCCACAACACAGGACTCACATTAAAGTCAAAATTTATTTTTTATAAGTGACAAACATGAAATTAAGATGGTCTTAGTGTAACAATAGAAAAAACTACTAATTATAGATACAATGTTACCAAGTTGAACTTGTCATGGATGCACATCTTGTCAATATAGTAACCCCTGACTGGCACCCTTTGAAGTTACGAACGATGTAGGGCACATTAATGTGGAGCTACCCTTCCCAATCCCTTGGCCCCCACCCCCTCACAGGGATGGAGGAGCTCCCCAAAACCGAGGATGATCGGCGGCAATCCATGTGGCATCGGTCGCCGAAAGGCTACTTCAGGACGGCGGTGGCCGCGACCCTGATTGAGGCCGCCGCTCTGTCGATCTCCTCCTCCGTCTGCTCCACGGTCACCACGACCCGGATGCTGCGGAGATGAGTGCGTGCGGAGTTAGGTGAGGCTAGGCAGCGGGCGGCGTTTACTGCCAGCCACCCACTGGGCGCCGCCAGCTGCTTTTGTATAAGAGAAGAGACCTTTGGAAAGGCTGTAAACACACCTCGACCTAATCAGTCAACCGAATGCAGCATTTCCCAAATAAATACAAATATAGAATATTTAAGTACAGATGTGTCTGTTAGCTGCTGCTATGTCCTTTTGCCATAAGCATGCACATCTATATTAAATGTATAACATTATCTACGTATTTGTTTATTTATGTATTTGGGAAGCTGGCAGATCTTAAACTTGCACATCTAGTTGGACTTGTTAACACTGCACATTCAGTAAGTAGCTATTTATTGACTAAACTGTACCAATTTGCACCATTACTCATACTTCAATGTTTTTTAAAAAAAATTAATTTAATTTATATTATTTGTTGTTTGTCAATGTCTGTCTGCACCAACACTGCTAAGACAAATTCCCAGTACGTGCAGGTCTACCTGGCCAGTAAAGCACATTTTGATTCAGATTTTTTTACATGTTCTTTCAATGAATTCCTGCAGCACAGGAATAAGTCGCAAAACGGCTGACCTAAAAGCAAGAAGTAGCTTCTTCTGTGTCAATTTTAAAGATGCTTTAAAGTAGCAGAACACAGTTGGAAAAACAGCCCTGTTTACATTTGGTATGAGGGTTTGTGGGAATACAGTGAGAGTGACACCAATACATACAGTAAACTGGTTAAATTTGCAGACGACACCAAGATGGGTGGTGTAGCAGATACTGATCTAGCAGCACAGAGGCTACAATGGGATCTGGATTTAATTAGCGATGGGGCTGATACCTGGCAGATGAAATTTAACACTGATAAATGTAAGGTACTCCATGCAGGGAGCAGAAATATAAAGTACAGATATTTTATGGGTTCTACTGAAATAAAGGTAGCTGATTACGAGAAAGATCTCGGTTTGTATGTTGATGCTTCCATGTCCCACTCTGGCCAGTGTGGGGAAGCAATAAAAAAGGCCAATAGGATATTGGGTTACATCTCTAGGTGTGTGGAGTTTAAGTCAAGGGAGGTGATGCTATGATTATATAATTCCTTGGTAAGACCTCACCTAGAATATTGTGTGCAGGTTTGGTCACCATACCTTAAGAAGGACATTGCTGCCTTGGAAAAGGTGCAACGTAGGGCTACGAGAATGATTCCTGGTCTTAGAGGAATGTCATACAAGGGAAGGTTAGTTGAGCTAAATCTGTTTAGCCTTGAGCAAAGGAGACTAAGGGGGGACATGATCCAGGTCTATAAGATTCTAACAGGTCTGGATGCTGTTCAGCCAAATGGCTATTTCAATATTAGTTTAAATACTAGAACTCGTGGCCATAAGTGTAAATTAGCGGGAGAACATTTTAAACTGAATTTGAGGAAGCACTTCTTTACACAGCGTGTAGTTAGAGTATGGAATAGTCTTCCTGCTAGTGTAGCGGAAGCTAAAACCCTGGGTTCCTTTAAATCAGAGCTAAATAAGATTTTAACAACTCTGAGCTATTAGTTAAGTTCTCCCCAAACGAGCTTGATGGGCCGAATGGCCTCCTGTCATTTGTAAATTTATGTTCTTATGAGTGGTGTGTAAAGTGCTGTCATTCTTACCTCGGTGGAGGGAGAAACTTTTCCTCTTTGTCCAAATAGCGAGCTTGAGTGAGCGCGATCTGCCTGTCCATACACTGAGAAAAAACATTAATGAGTTCACACAACCTACACTCAACATGAGTACCTATCACTCAAATTCAACAGGAGGCTTATAGAACAACTACCGTAATGTACTTCATTACATACAAGTCAGAAATAAAATTAACTGTTCACTGCACAGGAAACTCATATATATTGAAGACTGTTTCCTAAAGTGGAGCAAGCCAAATTTAAGCTCACACATTTGATGTGATGTACTTTGACCTGGCAAAGTCTGGAAATTAAGCATTTAAAACATTTGAATTTTAATATTTTAGCACGATACACAGAAGGCCTTTCTGAAATTCAAATACAACTTTCGATAACATTAAGAGGAAAACTGTTTCAATATCATTGTCCTTACAGTGGTGGTGCTGGCTTTTGTTAAAAGCGACCACATCATTAACAAAGTCTGATAAGACAGCCATGAAATTATGATCGGTGAGCTGCAGCCGCTAGACCATGATCCCCAGCTGCTTCGGTGGTGCTCTTACATAATCTACGATGCTCTTCAGCGTCTTAACATCATGGTCCCTGGATCCAGAGCTCCTCTCCAGCTGCAGATGGATAGCTGGGGTGAATGGCTCCCCAACCACCTTCAGACCAGGGATCCTGTTAGGAGATGGAAAAAAAAACCCAGATGATAAATGACAATGACCCCCCCATAACAAAACATGGGGCCTCCCACAGGAGACAGACAGCTCAAGCCATAGGATATCCTGGATGCAACACCAGTCCCACACAGGGCATTATGGGTAAGCTGAAGATGCCAGTCTGCCTAACTGCCTCCTTGGACAAAGGAGAACCTACCACAAAATGCAGGTACACAGAGCCAAAAGTGTGAATCAAACCCACAGGCCCAGATATGACCACAGAAATGATCACCATGCTGCGCCATAAATCACACATTCCAAAAAAAAACCGTGCAGGACAGGATCCAGATACCACAGGACTTTATGGAAGGTACAATCCATACATGTGAAGCATTTAATAGTCCTCTTACTGGAATATCATTTAATCATAGCTGCAAGTACAGTTTGTACTACAACTGAGATTCTGTGACAGCGTCTTTTTTCCCCCATGAACAAAAATATCCAGGAGCTATACTTTAATGATGATTATGGGACTTGTGTCTAAAAGGTATAAATTTTACGTGCTTTCACTGCCTTACTGCATATGTGTTAGCTAGCCTTTTAATGTACTGTTAGCCGTCCTGTGTGTCTGGTGAGGCTGAACGAGTTAGAATTCCTTTGCACTTGTTGCACATGGTCAATAAAACATCTTGAAAGCAAAGCCATTGAACTTTCGGCTTTGAACAAAAAACAAACTCCATTCCCAAACCGGTTTCATCCTCTGAGAACCACCGTTATTTACATTGCAACTGTAAAACAAATCCCAATTCCCCCATACTTTTATTGAGCACATATGCGAGTGGTTTAGATAGATCAGCGTTTAGACTGGAAATCAGACACCTTAGCCAACATCCCTCCTTCTCCAGAGGTGCATCATTTACTCACCCTTGCAGGGCTTTGTGGACATGTTTGCATTTCTCCCTTAGGATGGTGAAAATTTCTGGAAAAGGAGAGAAAAAAAAATAATTAAAAAAAAATTAAAAAAATGTACGCTGCATTCTACTCTGTTCTTAGTTCAAAGTCTTCTCAGTCACATGCCAGCAGATGGGATCCAGAAATCCTTTTACTCTGATGAAGAACGAGGCTCCGTCGCTGAGGCTGATCGGGAAGACTTTACATTTACTTATGCTGCGTTCCATTTACCTCGGAGGTGGGAAGTTGGAGCTGGGAATGACGCACACTTGAGTTGGAAAGCCACTGAGCAATACCCATGTCAAAAGTAGGATTTCTCTTACTTTAGCTGGATAACTTGTCAGATTTAAATGGCCTTCATCTTCGTTCACTTACATTTAGTGCAGACTATCGGCTAAGCATGAAATCCTGCTTTCTGAAACAGACCCCAGTTCTACTCGGGTCCATTGTTAGCCACCATTAGCAATACCGGTTGATGACCATGCATTATGCGGTTTACACATAAAAACACCATAGCAGCACGTCCACAGATAGCGGTTGGACAGTACTGTGTGTATGACTGATTTAATGAGACAAGACGTAAGTGCTAATTAACAGCATAAAACTACAGCTTTAACGTCTGTTGATAAAGGGCATAGCCATCTTATTGAGGTCGGGATTGCAGCGGCACCTCCGACTTTCCGAGACAGAATTCCAACTTCAGTGGACATTCCAGTTCTAGTTTCAGACTAGAAACTCGGAAATTCTGACTTCAGTTTAAATGGAATGCAGCATTATTTAACAGACGCTTTTGTGCAAAGTGATGCAATAATGAAGAGCAGAAAGGGGGGGCACCCTGTCCCTGAATCGATTGGGGGTCAGAGGACAACACCATGACAGATTCTGATGAACGTTGAGATCAAAATCAGAATTTTGCCACGGACATGGCATTTAGAAACATACCCTACATAGTGTTTGATCACAGATACAGAGGAGTCTTGCAACAGACATGATCGTCCGTGTATGGACAGGTTGACAATACCTAGTTGGGGTTAGGAATGCTGCCAGGAATTCTAACTCGTTATTCCAGGGGAAGAACCCTGGAAGTGATAATGTCCTGGCTGACAGCGACGCACATGCTCCGAATCAGCAAGATCACAGAAGCCACGCCGATTCTTTGCAGGGTGCTGAAAGCTCGCCTTCAAACACGCGATATGCTGAAAATCTTTTAAGACCCTTCTTATCAAAACAGATCGTAAACGTCCAGTATGTGGGGTAAGCAGATCGTGTGTGGCCGCCTGATGTAACCCCCGGTGTTTATGCTGCCGCTCTCCACTCAGCACCCCAGCCACGCCTGTCAGCAAGCACGCGCTGCCACCTACCGGGGTCTTCCTCCATGATGTCGAGGGCCTCGATGGCAGCCGCGGCCAGCATCGGCGGCAGGGAGGCAGAGAAGCAGTAGCCCTGGCCGGACAGGCGCTGCGGACGAAGCAAGCAGCATCTTCACCTTGCTACAAACATCCACCTAATGCTTGTGAAACGCAGGCACACAGCAATGCTTCGTCCCACATATCCCATCATCCAACACATACAGGTCAGAGGTCAGCACAGGGTCAGTCACCCAACTGAACCCTTGACATGCTCCAGAGGTGCAAGAGCCTTGCTCAAGGGCCCAATGGAGATATGACTATTCTGCCGAGAACAGGATAGGATCCAGCATTCTTCCAATCACAAGCATCGAGGACTAACCCACTGATCCAGGTACAGGTGTAAGCAGCGCTGGGGCAGGAGCTACAGAAGCACTGCTGCCACCCCCCCAAAAAATTATGCCAGACCAAGATTCATTCCATACGAATGCAAGGAGCATTTTCCATACTTGCACAGATCATCATAAATCCTAATAGATGAAGTAATTACACTCTGTTCTGAAAACTGGTCTGTGACATGTAGATGTCACACAATGCTGTAATTAAGTAGCTAGAAGCTTTCCATCTGTTTGGGAAGCACATGCTTAATGTTTAATGCACGCTTTAGTTGGGCTTGGAATCCCAGCCAGAGGCAGGTTGACAACCCCCATGCTGGACATTAACATGCTACAAAGCCACAAGCAGCTTGGAGGGGGCTCTGAATCTCAGAGTCTTTTTTTAAATAATATCAGTTCAGCAAAGTATCGTAAAAAAAAAAAATATATATATATTTTATTATTATCTCTACGGCAACGAACAAAAACAACATAATGGGCCGGAGTGACCACACTGATTGAGATGCACGTTGTAACACAAGGAAGTCTGTACCTGATGGTCTATGACAAAGGATCTTCCACAGCAGAAGCCACCAACAGAAGCCAAGGAGTTTTCCATGTTTGCACTGATAAGATCAATGTCATCAATCTAAAAGCAAAATTATTATTATTTTCTAAACAAAAAAACTCAAACTGATCTACACTCTTGGGTAGGACTGTCAAGGGATAAACTTTGAAATTTCCTCCGTACTTACGTTGACCCCAAAGTGCTCAGTGACCCCTCGACCGTGATCTCCCAGAACCCCAAACGACAAGCTTTCTTCCAGGAAAATGCGAACCTTATATTTGTACTTCAGCTTCAGCTGTTGGACAATTATTACAAAGCAGAGTTAGTCAACTGGGAAAGAACTTGCAATGAGCAAAAAAATCCCAGAAAAAAAAAAAAACATGCTTGACAAGACTCATTAACACACAACTTTGTTTTAGGAGATAAATGTGATTTACACAGTTTCTTATTACTGATGTTCGTTATCATTGATAACACAAGACAGGATTCAGTACTGTTTTCATATGAGAAACCTACCAGATCGGGAAGAGGACAAATATCACCAGTGTTCACATACAAGCCTTCCACCACGATGAATCTCCGGGTCACACGGGCTTTTCGTGGATTCTAGAGGGGAACATGAAAAGAAAAAAAAAAAAAAAAAAAAAGAAGAGGCTCCCTCTGTAGTCCAAGGATATCACAGGCATCACACATTTACCCAGCAGCCCCAGGGGCACACCTTCTGATCCTCCACTTCCTGTTCTTTCAGCAGCCTCTCCAAGTCTTCCATGTCATTATGTTTGAAGTACTTGATTAAGCTGCGCGAGGCTTGCAGTCCCTTCTGGATGGAGAAACAGGCCGCCTCGTCTCTGGGCATGCAACAGATGGGAAAAGAGCGTGAGCAGAAGTGAGAACAGGGGGTCAAGGGTCATGCCAGTGTCATTCTGATGAAGAAAGAGGTGCTGCGGAAATACGCACACGAACACCATGTCGCCTCTCTTGGAATACGCAGGGATGGCGCTGGCTATCGTCGCAAAGCCATAGGAATAGATGATCGCTTCCTCTGTTCTCATGAATTTCGCCAAACGATCTTCTAATTCCAGGTGGACATCTGTTTGTGAACATTAAGTTTGGAACAAACGTTGAGAACCTGCTCAAAGTGCTTGGGGCTCAAAAAAAAAAGAGTGAGTTTTCTGACAAGCGTACGTTAAGATTTAAAGGCCAAACTTCATATTTGTTAACATTCAGAGAATAGAATTCTGCATTTTGAAATTACCAAAAGTCCCATAAAATCCTCTTGGTCCACATGTGCCAACCCCATACTTTTTAAGAGACAACAGAGCTTGTTTCTATAAAGGGAAAGAAAACAAGGGAGACATTCACTCATGCCTTTATACCATAAAGAATAACAGAGCAAACCTGCTTTAACACCAGCTTTTTTTCTCTAGATAAACTGACTTAATGAGGCAGCGAAGCTGCACTGTTCTTTCAAAGGGTGTCACACTGTTGTTCTCCTCAGCTTTGTTCAAATGAAATTTGCAAAGAAACATTACCAATGCTTGGTCAGAAAACTCGATAACAGTAGATTACATTGCCAATTGAAGGACAAAAAGGACTATGCTTTGAAAGCACAATGTAAAACAATAAAACAGAAAGGATAAATAAAATGAAGGCCTACTGCCTCAGCTTCCACTTAAGTCTGAAAAAATAATTCCTGTGAAACAAACACCAACCTTAACGCGCTCATTGTCCAGGAGGCCCAAAAAGTTAAACGATGCAAAGTTAATGCACTCCTTCCCATTGACAATAATTTTGTGACTCGGAGGGCTGCAGAGATGAAACATTACAAGTAACATGTGGTTAGCCACTGCTTGTTTGATGATGCAACCAATATACTTTAAGTAATGTTTATAAAAGCCTGCTAATAAACAAAAATTCAATAAATTAGGCCTATCAGGTACAAAAGAAGGGACATTGACATTGCTTCCTTTTTAATGCTGAATTCAGGGTTCACAATATCACCTCATTACCCTAAAAGAGCTCAGTGTCCATCTTAAAAGTAACAAGCACAATGGGAAACACTGCTAACCCGCTAACTATGTTATAGTTGAGGGACGGATGGTCCTTCGATACAGGAGGCACAAGCGCTTCAGGCTGCCACTCTTCAATTAGCTCCTCCTTTTCCTGTAAAGGATGCCGACAGTGTCACAAATGGTCAGGACTTATTTTGAAACGTGTACTATTTATGCTTTAAATCATTAGTCCATGGCACAAACCACCTGACATTTACATACGTTTTTTTTTTTTTTTTAATTACCTTTTCTGTGAGATCTGATCTCTCCTGCAATTTGTATGTCTTTGAGAACAGGAGTCGGATAATCCATAATATGAGAATTCCCTCTAATATTAGATGGTAAGCAGGGGCCTGAGAAGCAAAAAAACAACAGGTAATTAAGACACAATTGGGGTTACAGGATTAGGACTTATGTAAATGTGCATATACATATAGACGTGTGTGCATACTTAAATATAATGTAGTGTTCCAATTCAAAAACCCAACATTATTCACAGGCGCACTGAAAGAGGGTAGCGGAGTAAGAATCACAGAATGTAGGGAACATAAAAACAAAAAATAACCGTATCTTCATGTTGCAAATAAACCAACCAAAACCTGAATTTAAAGGGTTTGTACCGCCCAACTCTGTTATAATACCCAATGCGACCTATAATAACTGCAATGAGAAATTTTAAAAGCCAGGGCAGATACACCACTGTACACAACGTCAGCAAAAGACTAAAACTATACCACATGAAAAGCAACAATGCTTGCATTGCTTGCTACTTAGACAACACTTGCCTGTTACCGCCTAATTTTTTTACGGAACATCGCATGCTCGAAATAGATTTCGTTGGAAAATAATTTAAGCCTTCAGCTGAGATCTGTTAAAAGTCTTTCGTCATTGTATACGTAAATTCCTGTCGTTGTTTTACGTATAGGGCAACTATTGCACGCCTAAACGTGCATTTCCTTACTCCACGTCAACATATTACCACCTAACAGATACGGCATTTCTGTGTATCCACACGTAATAAGTAAATGATTGTTTTATTCGTGTGTAGAATTTCTCATGTGTTGTTACAACCGCATTGGGAAAAAAGTGCATGTTTCCTTATAGGAGACCCAAAATCTGCGGAGTACTTTCCTTGTGTGTGAGCTCTGACCCTAGACCAGTAAGTTTATTTCGAGGACAATGTTAAGTCTTTACAGCTGCGGACTGCCAAGCTATTCTTCTAGCGGTTTTAAACCGGGAGCGATTTAGAACCAACCAAGTTAGAAAAAAGGTAAAACATTACTATACATGTAATTCAAAATACAAACTTCCTGTATATTTGAAACCCTCCTTACTATGTTTTTGATTGGTTGAACGCACGAATTTTCTTTTTCTAATAGGCACTCCACAAAACACGTGACGACCGTGGGCGTGTCCAATAAGCTCATTGGGCAGTTTGACCGACAATCACGCCGTACATTTTTAACAACACTTCCTGAAATCGTTCTAAGTTCTGAAAATAAGAAAACAATGCCTTCACCGCCATTCAAAACTTCCGAATAAACAATTAAATACGAATAACTTACGAGGCAAGTACAGAATTTCCTTTCCGGCAAGAAAAAAAATAACAATATTGCATAATTACCTCATAGAAAGCCTGCACCATCTCAACTAACACCCATTGCTGTCCGGACGCCATCTTTAATCTGTTAGGCACATGGTCGCATTGGTGAGAAAGGCGTCATCGGTGACGGCGACGAGAGCATTGCCAGGGGTGTAACAGCCTGCTGCTGAGAACATTAATTTGAACCCCATATCCTTTCACACCTTTAGTTATAAAGTAGACAAGTCACGGCGTGTCTTAGGACTTGAAAAAGAGTGAGATTAATGATTCAGGCGTTTTTATAATTTGTACTTGATTGCCCTTAACTGGACCCGGTATAAAAATCTTAAAATAGTAACAGCAGTAAATGCTTAGGATTGTTTGTACTGGGGACACGTGAATCGTAGTTCTAGTATTTGTCTTAAATAAAGGGATTTTTCTCAACTTAAGTAAAGTTGGGTAGGTACATAACATCATCTTCTTAATTCGTCTTAAAAAAGCAAATATTTTTTGTTAGATTACTGAGCCATAAGAATGTCTACAGAACTCGTATTTCCTCCCAAACCAAGCTCTTATTTTATAGTTTACATGGGGCCTGATAAACTGCAACAAATAGGACGTCTGCCAAACTACCTGTACACTATCTACTGAAAGGGGTGTTGGAGTGGCATCGATACCCTGGCAGATTCAGGGGGCCCAGCACTTAACTGGGGCCCTTGAATATGTAATATTGGGTGGGGAGTTAGGGGATGGTGACATTTTGTCAGGGGGTCCAGAGTTTCTAGGTACGCCCCTGCCTAAAACCTAAGGCCCCAACAAAACAGGGGCCCCGCCCCACCTCAGGAAAAATTGGAACGGTTAAAAACGTAATAAATTTGGCTGATTAATTTGCTGATCCCGCCCTCAGATCTGTAAATTTAACTGCCAACACCCCCACCTCATCAGCAAATGTTACCAACAGCACCCCCCACCCCAAACCGGTCAGTTAGTTATGGATGTTAAATCTCGGGATAAAACACTAAGTTAAATCTGAACAAACCCTAAAGGAAGGATTTATTTAAAGAAAAACACATTCTTTTTAAAAATGAATTTTTATATTCTGCAGTGTGCTCATTAAATTATATTATAATGGCTATTTAACAGCTTTAAAATATGTAGGTGTAATACTTTACTACATTTCTTGTAGCACATTGCCTTAGGATTGGTCTTGCTTTTTTTCCATACATGTGCCCTTAATTGAGAACAGAGATTTATTTCCAGAGAGTTTAAAGTCTGAACACACTATTTGAAGTGCACTTCAAATGAGAAGCAGATATTCCACCATGTGATTACAATACTGGAAATATTTGTGAGGTTCCTTTTTTCTTTGAATCATAATTACATTCAGGACTGTGGCCATGGGAATTGATTTTGAAGATGATTGCCAGAAGCTGTGTTTGTTAGCCATAGCCCATTCGCGTTTACCTATAAGCACATCTTCGCATAATCAAATGGCTTCCCGGCTAATCAGAATTCTATGGGTGTTTTGATTTATGTTGACTGTAGATAAAAGAAAGAGATTAAGCCCAGCAACGATAAGCGTGCAAAAGTTTTCTGAAGGATGTCTTGAAAAGCTCTGAATCTTTTATGCTCTGCAGAAAATGTCCAACATAATTTTCGTACATTTCACTGGGATGCAAAGACATCGATGGTTACAACCTGAGCAAAAATGTTGAAACATCATTAAAGACAAGTAACACAATGAATTATTGGTATTCAAATTAAATAACTAATAACAAATTGATGTAGTTTGGAATCAAGTAACATTAATCATGCATTGCTTTAATCATATTAATTTGTAATTCTTGAAGTGAAATTACATTTTATAATCTATAAGTAAATACATTTTCTAAATATTGGTGATTACAATTTTATTATCTAATATCTTTGTTCCTTCCTGTGTTTTTAATGTGTTTTAAATTTTTAATGATGTAACATACAATGGAAGAAAACGCGACCACCCTCTACCAGAAGGGGGCAGTAATGCACCTCCAAGCTTCCATAACGCCCTTTGAACATCTCGTCACCTTAGTCACTCCTGCCCTTGAGACCATCACACACATATAAATAAGGGAGAGACAGGAGCTGAAAGCCCACAATACATTGCGAAGAGGCAGCTTATTTGTTCCTGTCTTCTTAGAGAGTATGTCTGTATCCATGATACAATGTGTTCACATGTAACACTTCAGTTTTGTTTTAGTTTAGTTGCACTTTCATATGTAAATGGTTAGTTTCCTAATATCACATTCAGCCACTACAACACTGTAGTATTATAATGTCCGTATGTAGTTTGTGTTTGTGAGTTACAGCTGTAAATTATTTGACTGGTATAGATCTATCACCCATCTCTATAGGATTGGATTCTCAAACATCCTTCATTTGAGTTGAAAATAAGAAATATAAACTATGACGGCTCCTTTGTTGGAAATCGAGTCCAGCTCATAAGTACTGGACATGAGTAGATGCAGGCTCTATTACGTCATCATCCAGTTATTCATCCATTTTTTGGAACAGTTTGTCTGATTCAGGGTTGTGGGGGGTCCGGACCCTCTCCCCCAGGCTACGGGCGCAACCCAGCACAGGCCTTCAAAAAAAAAAAAAAACATAGTGAATTCAACATCCAAAGCTAGTTATGCTTTTCAAGCACATTAGCACTCAGTAACTCCAGTCCAACTGTCTCAACCATGCACTGGTTCCAGTACGCATGTGCTAATTTATATTCACAAAATCTTCCTACCAGTATGAGTTTATTGTTTCTTGGGCCCAACTCAAACAGTTATGCCCCCCAGGTGTAGTGACTGTATGTGCCCCCCCAAACAAATGTTTAGTTTGAGTGGTGGTAAACACCACTGCTGCCTGAAGGTAATCTATTATTTTAACCTTCCAACCCTAAACATACAGGCTTCTGCTCAGCACTTCATTTCCATTCTTTTAAAAGCCAAAGTACATTGGAAAAGCATCAGTCATGCAGCACTTGATTCCCTGGGCTTACAAGCTAGCTGGCTTCACTCAGAGACAAATTGGATACTTATCTATGAGCCAGGGCCCTGTTTCATAATTATTTGCAGCAACTCATTGCCAACATTTTTTATGGGTTTAATTTCCTTAAGGGTCTGCTCAAGGAATGGAAAGGACATCCGTATTAATAAATGCAGAGAGCATGCTTATGATTCACTTATAGAATGAGTGATTGCTGTCAAAATTACTTTAAACAAATGAATATTCAATTACAGGCACAATGCTTAGTAAACAGAGAATTCAGAGTTTAAGGAGGCTTTTAGATCATACTATTAATATAAAAAATGTACATTCAATGAAAATAATAATAATCATCATCATCAAAATTGTTGTTGTTGTTCAGTATTTAGCCCTGTTGCCTCACACCTTTGGGACCTGGGACTTTGGCTCAAGTCTCCGCCATGGCTCATGGGTGTGGAAGTTGCCCATTCTCCCTGAGTCATTGCAGGGTTTTCTCCGGCTGCTTTGAGATTAATTGGAGTTGCCAAATTGCCCATAGGTGTGCATGTGTGAGAGTATGCCATGTGATGGGTTGACACCCCATCCTGGGTTGTTTCCTGCCCTGTGACCATGAATAAGACAAGTGGTTAAAGAAAATGGGTGGATGCAGGAGCTATTGTTATCTGAAGTTATTCAGATATGACATCATTAGGATTCATTGTTTATAAAAAATAAATCCTTCATTGAAATATAATCAGTATTGGCCTAATATAAAATAACAGTGTTAGAAATTAGTACTCGAGGCTGGGGGGGGAGTGGTGGTGGAGGTGGTGGGTGCTGGGGGGGGGGGTCTTGCCAGTGAATTTCCACAATGATTGAGGAGCTACAGCCTCATGGAAAAAGTGAGTTCACCAGCCGCAGCATTCCCATTCCCATTCCCATTCCCATTCCCAGCCCTTGCTTTGTTACTTCTACTCTATATATTAGGTGTCCTTGGGTATTAAATATCTGAGGAGCGCTGCCATAAAATGACATTAGAAAGGACTAAACAAATTGCCAGGGGGTGGGGGGTTTGGTATATATTCTTCTGTGTGGCCCATGCTGGCTCTGCCAGAACATTCTGCTTAGCCTCTTGGAAGTCGCTCCTGCCCGGTTCAGGATCCGGATAAAGGAAATACACTGCCCAAGATGCATTAGCTGATAAAGAGAGACATTGCACAGAACTTGAGCTTCACAGCTTCAGAGCAGAGAAGTAAGACAGTTTGTTAATCTGCTTGGGGCACTTCATGAACTCAGTTACCTCACAACTGATCAACTAACCACGGCATGAACAGGGTCATGAACAGGATTGCACTTGGTACACCTGTCATTCATCGGAGTGGCCTTCTTAATCTAAATAGAAAGGTGAAATTATTATAAATTAAAATGTAAAATCATACCCCAATTTGGCTATTTTGAACATAAGCTTACGGCTATTGTCATTAGCCCAACTGCAGTGCAGAAAGAAACCTGGGGTGGGAATTAAGACCCCAAATATGAGGCGACAGTGTTACTCTATTCATTCTTTTCTGCAGAACATTAAATGGATGATTTAAGTTACTTTGGCTCTATAAAATTTAACCAACTACAGCCACAGAAATTTATGTTTCTTCATAACAGATATTCCTTTTTTAAAAAACCTGTTGCTTTCAGCCTTCAATTGATTTGACCTTTATACTCCTCATTAATATTGACCCAATTAAGCCCAAGTAATTAAGCAGTTTGTTGGATCAAAGACCAACATCCATCTGTCCGTCTTCCAGTTGCTTCTGTAGGTCAGGGTTGCAGGGCAAACTAAAAATATAGATAAATAGCAGATTTACTTCACAGACGGACAGACAGACAGACAGATAGATAGATAGATAGATAGATAGATAGATAGATAGATAGAAAAGAAATGAATAAATAGCTATTTCAGCCACAAGGGGGTGTACATTGCATTTTTGAAAGATTCTTGCAAATTCTTGAGTAAATTTCACAAATGGAATTTCTCACTAGTTTTCTGAACCTTGGAGTTTAGAATGAACTTTTTTTAGGGAGTTTTTAATACCCAGGATGTAGAAAAGGGCATTTCTAAATTTATATAAGCAAGTTAACAAAGAAGCTCTGTCACATGTAAGCCTAATGGCCGGGTTAGCAAAGATAATATGATATTTGGATTTGACTCAATGCATCCTGCCATTTTTCTTTGTAATACAGTAAATAACACCAAGCCCTGCTACTGAACAGTAC